TTAGGTGAACTACAACTCCCAAATTCAAGATCAATACCCACCAAACCCTTTCAGTATTTTCTGCTCATCATGGGGTACTGTGCGCCACGTTTGGTTCAATTCCATTGTTGGTGGAGTTCAGAATGCTCTTTGATTGTAGGTGAACTATAAATCCCAGCAACTACAACTCCCAAATGACAAAATCAACCCCCCCCCCCCAACCTCACCAGTATTCAAATTTGGGTGCATTGGGTATTTGTGCCAAATTTGATCCAGTGAATGAAAATACATCCTGCATATCAGATATTTACATGACGATTCATAACAGGAGTAAAATTACAGTTATGAAGTAGCAACGAAATAATGTGATTGCTGGGGGTCACCACAACATGAGGAACTGTATTAAGGGGTTTCACCTTTTGCCGCTTAAGCAAAATGGGCCTGAGGCTGTTAGGAATTGTGGGAGTTGAAGTCCAAAACACCTGGAGGAGGGCCTGAGTTTGCCCATGCCTGATCTAGATCCAGCTGATTGTTTACGTAGCATGCCTTTCACCTTCATCCGTGTCTTTCGCCAATAGTCTGATCCATCCCTCCTTTCTTCCACATCGAATTAAATCCAGCCCTGCTTCCCGATTCTGCTCGTTCATCTGCAGCGGCTGCCGAAAACAATGCTGGCTGTAATTGCTCAGCGTTTTAGACGCGCCCCACTCCAATGATACCTCATTAAGATTTCTTGTTGGTATCAGTTGTGTCTTTTTCCCTTCCCTATTTTTATTAAGCACTTTGGTGTTTCAGCACTTAGGCACTTTAATATTTTTATGGCTCCTCCACAGGAAGTATTGATTTGCTGCCTGCTAATCTTGGCTGGTTTTACGAGAGAGGCCCCGGCAATCAGATAAACAATTGGGGGAGACGGGGAGAGGAAGGGGTCTTCCTTAGGATCCATCCTATCCAAAGATGGGTTGGGTGAATCATACCTGAAGAAAGGGAGGGTTGGGAGAGGGTTATACCGCACATACTCGAGTATAAGCCGACGCGAATATAAGCCGAGGCACCTAATTTGACAATATGGATAATATGAAATAGGGACACCAAAACATTAATATGTATTAATATTAATAATAGCAATTAACAATAATGTATTAATACACATCTATATAAATAAAAATGTAATGTTCGTTTGTGGGATTAACATAACTCAAAAACCACTGGGGGAATTGACACCAAATTTGGACACAAGACACCTAACAACCCAATGTATGCCCTGCACTCATAAAAACACTGAAAAACACAGCAGAAGGCCCCCAAAAGCTAATGTCAAAAAGTTAAATGACAATACAGTAAAAAGAGAAGAAAGAGGGAGGGAAGGGGAGAAAAAAAAAGAAAGAAAGAAAGAAAGAAAGAAAGAAAGAAGAAAGAAAAAAGAAAGAAGAAGGAAGGGAGAGGAGGAAGCATGGAAGCAAAGAGAGAAGGAAGGAAGGAAAGAGGAGAAAGGGAGAGAAAAAGGGGAAGGAAGAAAGTTGAGAAAGAAGGAAGGAGAGAAGGAAAGAAAAGGGAGGAAGAGGGGGAAGATGTAGAGAAAGAGGGAGGGAAGGAAAGAAGGAAAGAGAGAAGGAAGAAAAGAGAGACAGCAGAAGAGAAAGAAAAGGGGGAAGGAAGGAAAGAGATAGAGAAGGAAGGAAGAAGAGAAGGAAAGACGGGAAGGAAGGAAAGAGGGAGTGAAGGAAGGAGGGAAAGGAGAGAAAGAGGGAAGGTTGGCCACAGCAACACGTGGCGGGTACAGCTAGTATTATTATATATCAAAAAACTGGGAAAACCTATTGACTCGAGTAGAAGCCGAGGGTGGGAAATGCGGCAGCTACTAGTAAATCTATATAAATAAAAATGTAATGTTCGTTTGTGGGATTAACAGAACTCAACAACCATTGGACGGATTGACACCAAATTTGACACAAGACACCTAACAACCCAATGTATGTCCACTCAAAAAAATGATTTTGTCATTTGGGAGTTGTAGTTGCTGGGATTTATAGTCCGCCTACAATCAAAGAGCATTCTGAACTCCACCAACGATGGAATTGAACCAAACTTGGCACACAGATCTCCCATGACCAACAGAAAATACTGGAAGGGTTTGGTGGGCAGTGTCCTTTGGTTTTGGAGTTGTAGTTCACGTACATCCAGAGATCACTATGGACTCAAACAATGATGGATCTGACCAAACTCTACATGGATACTCAATATGCCCAAATGTGAACACTGGTGGAGTTTGGGGAAAATAGAATCTTGACATTTGGGAGTTGTAGTTGCTGGGATTTATAGTTCACCTACAATCACAGAGCATTCTGAACCCCACCAATGATAGAATTGGGCCAGACCTCCCACACAGAACCCCCATGTGGGCCACAGCAACACGTGGCAGGGGATGGCTAGTCACTCATAAAAACACTGAAGAACACAGCAGAAGAGACTTAAAATGCCAAAAAACAAAAAATACATTACAACGCATGTGCAAAACCACATATATACACAAACACACACATATACACAAATATATACACATACATATACACACACAAAACACATATAAACAGACTGGGCCACAGCAATGTGTGGCAGGGGATTGGTTTGGTCCATCTTCCCATCAGAGTTAACTCTGAGGTGTATAGCAACACAACACTGAGGAACCAAGGACACATTTTCCAAAAGAACCAAACGTTTATTAGTTCTCCAGAGGCACCAAGGACTCTGAATTCTAACACATAAATAGCTAACTCGTTTAAAAAGCTCTGATTTGAAAGTTTCCAGCTCCCTTGAAATACCTGAAAGCAAAGGGGTTCCTGGGTGATGCACATGGCCATCCACAATTTGATACACTTCTATTGACCTTGGCCCATCCAGGTGTTTTGGACCTCAACTCCCACAATTCCTAACAGCCTCAAGCCCCTTCGTTTTCTCCCTAAGCCACTTAAGCTCCCTGTTTGAGTGGTGATGGCATGATCGTCAGCATATGTCATGTATCATGTTCTCCAGATGTAATCTTACTTACAGATTACGCAACCCTTTAGAACTAAGACTTACATTAATCCTTCCATCACCAATTGCTAGGCCTGCCACCATCAACCACCATCAACCACTGAACATGATACATGACATATGCTGACGATCATGCCATCACCACTCAAGAAGGGAGCTTAAGCGGCTGAGGGGGAAAAGGGACTGAGGCTGTTGGGAATTGTGGGAGTTGAAGTCCAAAACACCTGGAGGAGGGCCCAAGTTTGCCCAGGCCTACTTTAATCTGTAACTCTCATCATCTCCAGAAATTTCCTCCCATGAGAGGATGGTGGGAGATGTAGCAAAAGGAAATAAAGCCACCTTAAGTGGTAGACATTAGAAGAAAAATGTAACGGCTCACCTTGATCTCAGCATATTTCCAGCACTAAATTCTAAACCTGATAATTATTTTTTGACTGTATATGGAGATGCAAGAAATGACACATTAACTCTTTGGGTCAAGCTACAGGTATATGTACCTTAGAGTATCGTGTAAGGTATAGGAAGGGGTGGGACCATCTGACCAGCAGATTTCTCCCAGCTAGCACCTAGGTTGCAGTACCTCCCAACCTCTGAGGGTGCTTGCCATAGATGCAGGCAAAACGCCAGAAGAGAATGCTTCTAGAAGATGGCTACACCACCCGAAAAACCTAAAACAGCCCAGTGATTCCGGCCATGAAAGCCGTCGAGAATACTCCTGAATGACAGTTGGGAATGTATCTTTATCTTCTCTCTTCTCTCTTTCTGATCTCACTCTGATTGCTTGTTTTAAATTGATACTATTCTGCTGCAAGCTTTTTGAATCTGACTTCTGCCTTCTTACACTTTAGTCTGGAGAGTATGTGCTGTGTGCTTTGAGATCTCTCTCTGCTTGTGTGTCAGGAGAGATGTAGTGATTGGTGTCTTCCCCTCTCTTAAACCTTAGACTAGATGGGTGTTAGTAACTCAGACTCAATACTTGATTATTAAGAAATGTATTTAGTTATTTATTGTTATAAATAAACCTTTTGTGATTTTTAAGATTGGACTCTGTATGTTTTATTCCTAAGCTCTGAATTCTTTACAGCCACACCACATAGCACTTCGCACTCTGTTCGCTAGTGAGCTGATGCTCAACTTTTGTATCTTGTTTGTTTTTGGATGCTCTGCTTTATTATTTTAGGGTAGTTTTCCCTAACACAACTCTTACAATTATTTGATTCTAGGACATAAACCTTCCCACTTGATGCTATCCAATGATGAGAATAGCTTGGAAACATCAACTGAGACTCCACACGTGGAGTCACACAATGATTGTGCTATGCAGTCTTGTGCTAAATGGCAAGATCACATCATTAGAGGTGCCCCCAAATAATGTGAATTCCTGTAACTCCAAATGCACAATCATATGTGCACTGGCATGTGCAACAGCACAAAATTTGCCATCCCAATTCCACAACCTTGAACCGAATGCCAAAGTTCTACATTAGGCAAACATGTCCAACACTTCTCACAGGGCAACCTATGCACGTATTTCAGAGGAAGGAATAGCCAAAACCGCCTCTTGAGTATTCCTTGCCAAAGAAAACCCTACGAAATTCACGGGGTCACCATACATCAAGAGATGACATAAAGGAACACACAAGATGTTGCAAAATGAATTTGAGAGCTGCTGCATGCAAAAACTATGGATCCTTCCAATTGTCTGACAGCGCCAGACCTACCATTACAGAGATGAAAGGCTGTGGGTTGCTGTGAGTTTTCAAAGGCTTTGATGGCCAGAATTGCTCGGTTACTTTGGGTGGCAAAATGTCAGTGGTGGGAACCTGGAAGAAAAAGCTTTCGTATGCAGTGGATGATATTGTCCCATCATCTCCAGCGTTGACATCTAGTCCTCTTTTGCAACAGGAACTCCGCAGCTTCCTTTCAGCCTCAGCATCACCTTGGTGTTTTTTGAAAACTCTTGTGACTTTCAAGAAGTACTTTTTGGAAGTAGTGACACAGCAAAGTAGTTCCAGTTGCAATGCTCTTCTCTTTGGTATAATAATTATGGAGAACATCAGGTTTGCCCATGCTCCCTTTTCATGTCCAAAATCAATGCTGTTCGAGCAGAGCAACCATAGTGACAACAACAAAAAATCAGCAAAGAGGGACTTTGGGTGTCATGACTCCAAATGAGAAAGATGGAAGGAAGGTAAGACACCCAGTAAAGAGAATGCTGTAGTCTTTCTTCTCAATTCTAGACATGTGATGGGAGCCTCAAGGCAATGCAACCAGGTCTATCCAGAGTTTACACAGGAGTATGAATAAAGGGGAATTGGGTGACTGAAACTGGTAAACAGAAGATGGGAGGTCTCCTCAAGGTTCTCCAATGTTTTCTACAGTCAACTGCTGAAAGAAGAGCCCACAGAGCAGGACCAATCTGGGGTTATCACGGCATTCTCTCCTGTTCCTGTCAGTCTATTTCTTCTCCCATGTCTGGAAAGAGAGAGAAAAAAATGATGAAAACAACAAAAAAAACCATATCCGTAGCCTAGTTACCCTTCAAATTTTAAATATGGACTTTGTTGTGGGGAAATCAAGTTAGTGCCTGGGTGGAGAGTGTTTGAGGATCGGGACATCTGTAGGGATACCAAAGTGCTTGTTTGTAAAGCTATTATCCTCCCAACCCTGTAATACGCCTGCAAAACGTGGACTGTCTGCAGACGTCACATACCACTCCTGGAACGTTTTCATCAACATTGCCTCCAGAAAATCCTGCAAATCTCTTGCGAAGACAAGTGGACAAATGTCAGTGTGCTGGAAGAAGTAAAGACCACCAGCATTGCAGCGATGGTCCTCCGCCATCAACTCCGCTGGACCAGCCATGTCCGGATGCTCGACCACTGCCTCCCAAAGCAGTTGCTCTACTCTGAACTCAAGAACAGAAAATGGAATGTTGATGGACAGGAAAAGAGAGTAAAAGATGGGCTCAAAGCCAACCTTCAAAACTGTGGCATTGACACCAAGAACTGGGAAGCCCTGGCCCTTGGACACTCCAGCTGGAGGTCAGCTGTGACCAGCAGTGCTGTAGAATTTGAAGAGGCACGAATGGAGGGCGAAAGAGAGAAATGTGCCAAGAGGAAGGTGCATCAAGGCAACCCCGACCGAGACCACCTTCCACCTGGAAACTGATGCCCTCACTGCGGGAGAACATGCAGGTAAAGAATAGGGCTCCACAGTCACCTACGGGGCCACTACCAGTATACTGATTTTGGAAGACTATCCTACTCGGACAAGGGATTGCCTAAGTAAGTAAGTAAGTAAGTAAGTAAGTAAGGAGATAGACCCAAGACCAGTTAATAAATCGCTTCCATTTCCTCAAAGCTATAGCATGGACATTGATTCTGTGGGGTTTCTTGCTCAAACAGGAAGACAATCCAGTATCCCCCGTGCTGACAGAAAGTTAGGACACGTTAATGCTAAAGAGACATTTAAAGTAGCTTGGGTGCGACAACATAAGGTCCCATCCTAGGAGAAAGGCCAAGCTTAGTCTCCTCTCTGAGATATCTTGTTGCCTTCAGGCAGGGGCGGCTGAAGCAATAGGCAAGATAAGCATTTGCATATAGCGCAAATCCCCAAGGGGCGCTCTTGAGGTGCCCCCACCTACCACGCGGATAGAGGGTGCTTTATGGTAGACTGCAAAGCTGGTGGGTGGGAGCTTCAATCAGGAAGCCCAGCTGCCTGCTGCCCTGGCGGAAGTATCCCGGAGGGATCTACCTTGGAGGCTGCTGTGATGCTGCTTCCCTCGGGGGGGGGGGGGGGGTCTCTGCACCAGCTGCTGGGCCACCTGGACTTCCTGAGCGAGGTGGAGGAGTGCCTTCGCCGGGCGGAGCCACTCCCAGCCCCGATGTGATTTGTGTCCAGGGAAGTGCAGTACAAGCTCTGCAACGATGCCAGTGGGCTGGGCCTGTCCAGGGTGCTGAGCCCAAGCCTGCTCTCGGTCTGGCTGAGCCCAAGCCTGCTCTCGGTGGCAACAAAGCCTGCTCTCGGTGGATGGGACACTATAGAGCTGTGCAAGGGTTCCTGCCTCTGGGCTAGCAGCAAGGAGCACTGCAACGGACAGGGCTTGTGGGTGAAGCTCACCAGGGTGAGTCAGAGAGGGTGTAAGGAGGAATGCACTCTGCACATATTCAGAGGCACCTGGGTCTTGGGTGCATCTATGTTGGAGAGCGGATGCTCCTTGAAAGCGTACCTTGATTGCTGATTCACAAGCATTCCCTGAACGAACTAGGCATGCACTTTGCTCAGAGGCATTTGTGTCCCACCTTAAATGCATCTGTGTTGTAGAATGAATGCAGCCTGACACCACTTTGATTGCGGATTCATAAGCATTCCCTGAATGAAATAAGAATGCACTTGGCACATGCTCAGAGGCAATTGTGTCCCATCTTAAGTGCATCTGTGTTGTAGAATGAATGCAGCCTGACACCACTTTGATTGCGGATTCATAAGCATTCCCTGAACGAAATAAGAATGCACTTGGCACATGCTCAGAGGCAATTGTGTCCCACCTTAAGTGCATCTGTGCTGTAGAATTAATGCAGCCTGACACCACTTTGATTGCGGATTCATAAGCATTCCCTGAACGAAGTAGGAATGCACTTTGCACATGCTCAGAGGCATTTGTGTCCCACCTTAAGTGCATCTGTGTTGTAGAATGAATGCAACCTGACACTACTTTGGTTGCTGATTCACAAGCATTTCCTGAATGACATAGGGATGCACTTTGCACATGCTCAGAGGCAATTGTGTCCCACCTTAAGTGCACCTGTGCTGTAGAATTAATACACCCTGACACTACTTTGATTGTTGATTCACAAGCATTTCTTGAATGACATAGGGATGCACTTTGCACATGCACCTCTACCTTCTATCTTTTATTTTTCAGTGATTGGTTGGGGAGGGGTGCCAAAATACTGTTTGCTTAGACTTGAAAATTACCTAGGGTCGGCCCTGCCTTCAGGCATGATGGAGGATGCTTTTCCAGCATCATTGATGGAGAAAGATTCAAGTGGGAGGAAAGTGTAATTCGATATCATACCCAAAGGCAGAAGGCTACCTTAGTGGACAAACTGGGCCTTCCGGGTGTTTTGGACATCCACTCCCACAATTCCTAACAGCCTTAGGCCCCTTTGCTTAAGTGGCTGAAGGGGAAAAGGAAGGGGCCTGTTAGGAATTGTGGGAGTGGATGCCCAAAACACCTGGAGGGCCCAAGTTTGCCCATGCCTGGTGTATACCGGGATTGTGGCACAGCTGGCTGAGTGTCAGCTGCATTAAGATCACTCTGACCAAAAGGTCATGAGTTCGAAGCCAGCCCGGGTTGGAGTGGGTTTCCAACCAATTGTGTAGCCTGTTGTCGACCTTTGCAACCCGAAAGACAGTTGCATCTGTCAAGTAGGAAAATTAGGTACCACCTTAAAGTGTGGGGAGGCTAAATTAACTGATTTATGAGGCCATAAAGAAGACTCCAGCAAAGCATTCCAGCGGGGAAGCATGCGGGGAATGCGGAAGTGCTTCATCAGCGTCGCAGATGGACGATGAAAGCGAACAGCTCCCCTGGCAGCCAGAAAAAGTTAAATAGCCTCTGTGTATGTCTGTATATGTTTGTATGTCAAAATTGGCATTGAATGTTTGCCATATATGTGTACACTGTAATCCGCCCTGAGTCCCCTGAGGGGTGAGAAGGGCGGAATATAAAAGCTGTAAATAAATAAATAAATAAATACCATAAGCAGTATTATTCATGGCTCTCAACTTCTAACCTCAGCTGGCACCTCATTTCCACGACAGCTAAGGCAACCCCTCCCTCTGCCCTATGGCAAAGCTGGGCTTTTCCAAGCATCACTTCTCATCCAAAGTTGGGACTCCCATCAAGTCCTGTAGATGCAACCATCCATGCATCTGGTGCAATGCAGAAGCTCAGCATTCAGGGAATTGTTCTTGAGACGAGAAGCTTCTCACCTTCTTTGATATCCACACTCTTCAGAGGCTGCAAAGCTGTCAGAGGAGGACAAAAAACGGAAAAGGGGTCATGATGGTAAGCAAATGAGATGAAGAGAGCAACATGGGATCTTGGAGGATCTGAACTTCAAGACATAAGGGTTGAGCTACTACAGCAGTGTTTCTCAACCTGGGGGTCGGGACCCCTGGGGGGGTCATGAGGGGATTTCAGAGGGGTCACCGAAGACCATCAGAAAACACGTATTTCTGATGGTCTTAGGAAACCCTTTGGAATAGTCGTTTGGGTTCACAGTGCTCTCTGGATGTAGATGAACTATATCTCCCCTAAATCACGGTCAATTCATCCCGAATACCTCCAGTGTTTTCTGTTGATAATGGGGGTTCTGTGCAGGAAGTTTGGCCCAATTCTATTGGTGGGTCCCATCAACTACAACTCCCAAATGTCAAGATCTATTTTCCCCAGACTCCACCAGTGTTCACATTTGGGCATATTGAGTATTTGTGCCAAGTTTGGTCCAGATCCACCATTGCATGAGTCCACAGTGCTCTCTGGATATAGGTGAACTACAACTCCCAAACTCAAGGTCAATGCCCATCAAACCCTTCCAGTGTTTTCCATTGGTCATGGGAGCCAAGTTTGGTTCAAATCTATCGCTGGTGGAGTTCAGAATGCTCTTTGATTATAAGTGAACTATAAATCCCAGCAACTAACTCCCAAAGTACAAAATCAATCCTCCCCCCAACCCCACTAGCATTCACATTATTGGGTCTTTGTGCTCAGTTTGGTCCAGTGAATGAAAATGCATTCTGCAGATCAGATATTTACATTATGATTTATAACAGTTGCAAAATGACTGTTACGAAGTAGCAACGAAAACAATATGGTTGGGGGTCACCACAACATGAGGGATTGTATTAAGGGGTCACGGCATTAGGAAGGTTGAGAACCACTGTACTACAGTAAGGTTTGCTAGTGTACCTAGCAGAAACAGTCTCTCTCCATCAGCGCAGCACTGTCCTCTGCTGGACATTTTTGAATCTGTATCTCTGAACTATAGCAAGTCAGGAGAACATCAAGTTGGAGCATAATTATTTCTTCAGGGCTGTCTGAGAGGACTTAGAATCATTACAGAAACAGACCATCCAGTGCAATATTGCTTGCACTAATGGGAAGCAATTTTCTTAAATTTCAAGAACCTGGATACAGATTCGGGGACTTTTTGCTTGCAAAGCATGCAGCAAACAACAAGCTCTTTGCAATGGAGTATGAGTTGGTCCTTGAGGCATGGGCACAAGAGATCTCAAATCACACAAACCTGTCTTGGATCCTTCTCCTTCATCCTGTTCCTCTATCCCTGGAAGCATGTGTTGGGAGAAAGACAAAAGACATAGGATAAGAATTGTTGGAATGCAACCCCACACTGCCTAAGTCTCAAGTCCTCAACAAGGAGCAGTTACTTTAGTATAGACTAAAGGTTTCCCTTCTCCCATGTCTCCTGAATGACAGTTGGAATGTATCTGCATGGTTGGGTAAAATGGATACTGTTCTACGATAAACCTTTTTAAATCTGACTTCTTTTTCTTACATCGAGTATGTGCTGTGTGCTTTGAGATCTCTCTCTGCTTGTGTGTCAGGAAGATGTAGTGATTTGTATTTTTCCCTCTCTTGAAACTTAGAAGAGGTGGGTGTTAGAGTAGCTCAGACCCAGTTCTTGATTATTAAGAAATGCAGTATTTCTTATTATTGTAAATACGAGGGTTGAATGAAAAGTAATGCCTCCACCTTCGTTACTTGGGTTTGATGGGAATATTTTAATAAATCAAATGCAGAAATGATCCTTAGAATGTGCTCTTTAACTACCACTATTCACTTTTCCACATAATCACCAGACAATTGGATACATTTCTGCCAATGATGAACAAGTTTTCTGAAGCCGTCACAGAAGAAGTCGACACTCTGTTTCCACAACCAGCGTCTCACAGTTCTCTCATCCTGGGTACCCATCGTGCACAGATTTTTCTGATAGCCAAACAAAGCAATAATGTGACCCACACGTTCTTGTGAAATGCTGATTAGGCTTGAAATTTCTGAGTGATACCACGATCGTCCTGAATCGATCTGTCAACCTTTTGCTTGTGAAACTCGGTGGTTGCTGTCACAGGACATCCAACTCTTTGTTTGTAACACAAGTCAGATGTTCCTACCTCAACATCTTTAAACTTACTTGCCCACCGACGCACAGTACTCACATCCACCAATCACCATAAACAGCTTGCATTCTCTGATGAATCTCCTTTGGGGTGACACCTTCTGCTGTCAAGAATTCAATAACTGCATGTTGCTTAAGTCGCATTGACCATCTGCGCAGSGTTCCATACTTTGCACTTTAACCACACAACCGTTCAATGCTAAGGCTTCCTGCCAAAATGGAACTGTAGAGGAGAGTCTACTGAACAAGCCAGTACCTGCTGCATACCAGTACTGCCGTCTGTTGGGTAGTTACGAAGGTGGAGGCATTACTTTTCATTCAACCCTCGTAAATCTTTTGTGATTTTCAAGATYGAATTCTGCATCTATTCCTGCCTAAGCTCTAAATTCTTTACAGGCACGTCACACAGCTCTTCACGCTTTGCTGATGCTCAACTTTTTGTACCCTGTTCATTTTTTTAATGCTCATATGTATGTATATGTATGTATGTATGTATGAGTAGTTTTCCCTAACAAAGAATATATTAGGCAAACTGACTACCCATGGACGTCCTTTGCTGGTGTGTTAGTCCCACTTATGTGTCAGAAGAGAGAATAGTAGGTCCTCCAGTTTTGTGAGGGTTAAGGGCACAGGACCCCTGTGAACATAGAAAAAAACATGTGGTGAGTTAGGAGTGACTTGAGAAACTGCAAGTCGCTTCTGGTGTGAGAGAATTGGCTGTCTGCAAAGACATTGCTCAGGGGATGCTGGAATGTTTTGATGTTTCATCATCCTTGTGGGAGGCTTCTCTCATGTCCCTGCATGGGGAGCTGAAGCTGACAGAGGGAGCTCATCAGCACTCTCCCCAGATTCTAACCTCCAACCTGTCGGTCATCAGTCCTGCCAGCACAAGGGTCTAACCCATTGCGCCACCGGGGAGTGGAGGACGTGATTGCGCCACCGGGGACGCAATGTGGGTGGACTGGGAACAAAAGATGATACACAATTAATATTACCGGCTTTCTCTTTCTCTTCTTTGCAGCTCTGGCGGATTTTCTTCTGGCACACGTAGGCCAAGGCGATCAAGAGGATGACAAGGCAGATGGTCAAACCAACAGTGACCCAGAGGGCCACAGCTGGAAAAAGAAGGTGCTGGCCTAAAAGAGAAGAAAAGGAGAGAAAGGAGGAGAGATGGTCATTCCCAACGGCGTTGAAGAAAAAGATAGAAACTGCCAGATCAACTCCAGGATGCTAGTTACAACCTTCCAGAAATCCTAGGAAGGTGCGTTGTCAAAGGCTTCCATAGCCGGAATCACTGCGTTGTTGTGAGTTTTCTGGGCTGTCTGGCCATGTTCCAGAAGCATTCTCTCCTGATGTTTTGCCCACATCTATGGCAGGCATTCTTACTGTGAACCACCGCCTCCTCCTGAGAAAAATGTATAATATCACAAAGGACTACCACCTCACCCGCCTCATAGGAAACCTGCTACAAAACAGGAGCTTTTTTGTTGCGTTCCAGGGCCAGAGAAGCAGATGGCGGAAACAGAAGAACGGCCTGCCTCAGGGGAGCGTGCCTGCTCCATCCATGTTCAACATCTACACAAATGACCAGCCACTGCCAGAAGGGACAGAGAGTTCATCTATGCTGATGATCATGCCATTACCGCTCAAGCAGGGAGCTTTGAGATGGTAGAACAGAAGCTCTGAAGCTCTAGGTGCTCTTACTGCCTATTACAGGGAAAACCAGCTGATCCCTAATCCATCTAAAACACAGACATGTGCTTTTCACCTTAAGAACAGACAAGCATCCCGAGCTCTGAGGATGACCTGGGAAGGAATCCCACTGGAGCATTGCAGCACCCAAATACCTGGGAGTCACTCTGGACCGTGCTCTGACCTACAAGAAGCACTGCCTGAACATCAAGCAAAAAGTGGGTGCTAGAAACAATATCATACGAAAGCTGACTGGCACAACCTGGGGATCACAACCAGACACAGTGAAGACATCTGCCCTTGTGCTGTGCTACTCTGCTGCTGAGTATGCATGCCCAGTGTGGAACACATCTCACCACGCTAAAACAGTGGATGTGGCTCTTAATGAGACATGCCGCATTATCACGGGGTGTCTGCGCCCTACACCACTGGAGAAATTACACTGCTTAGCCGGTATTGCACCACCTGACATCCGCCGGGAAGTAGAAGCCAATAGTGAAAGGACCAAGGCAGAGACATCTCCAGCTCATCCCCTGTTTGGGTATCAGCCAGCACGTCAATGACTTAAATCAAGAAATAGTTTTCTTAGATCTACAGAGATATTCACTGGAACACCTCAGCAAGCGAGAGTCCAAAAGTGGCAGGCTCAAACCCAGCACCTCAATCCGTGGGTGATACCAGATGAGAGACTCCCCCCTGGGCACACAGAAGACTGGGCGACGTGGAAGGCGCTGAACAGACTGCGCTCTGGCACCACGAGATGCAGAGCCAACCTTCAGAAATGGGGCCACAAAGTGGAATCCACGACATGTGAATGTGGAGAAGAGCAAACCACTGACCACCTGCTGCAATGCAACCTGAGCCCTGCCACATGCACAATGGAGGACCTTCTTGCGGCAACACCAGAGGCACTCCAAGTGGCCAGATACTGGTCAAAGGACATTTAATCAACTACCAAGTTTGCAAAATTTGTGGGGTTTTTTTTAATCTGTTTGTTTGTTTTGTTCTGTTAGAAATGTAATACAATGGTCTGGTTGCTGATGACACGATAAATAAATGAATAAGCTCAAAAGGCCACCCTACTCGGATCTGCACGCATTATTTGCTGATACATCACGTTATTATTATTATTATTATTATTATTATTATTATTATTATTATTATTATATAAGCTTTGGATTTAAAATACAGTAAAAGCTCCCTTAACTACAGGATTGCTTCCCTTTACACCGAAACCTATATTTTTGGACCATGGTTGACTACTTAAATGTATTGGTTAACTTTAGTCATGGCCCCAGAATATAACCTTTGGTACTATTGTGGTTTCAGGTGTCAAGACTGTTGCTGAAAAACATTTTCCAGCTCTATATTTTCCGGAGTCGACAGGACTAAATGTCACCCTCATTAGAACCGGCAAGAGTCCAACAGTTCGCGGAGACCCTTCCAAACCGGAGGTCTACCACGCCGGCGGACGCTTCAAGCACGGTCTTTTCACGGGTTCTGCAGAAGCATCTGAGAAGACAGGCAAACAGCAGTTTGAATTGCCCTATAAAACACTTCATTAACCTTTAAATAATTATGCTAATAAATTCAAATAGATGCTGATCCGTCACACTTCGCTTGGAGGAGCAGAGTCTTGGTGAAAGGGACCGAGCTTGACGGATTTCCTATGGAGAGAGATCTTTCCTTTTCTGTGCAGGGAGGAGAGGAAGAATGCAAACTCATCTCACCTGCCAATATTTCTCAAATAAAAAAATGGGCAATGCTTGCATTCTCTCCTGAAATCTTCTCCTTTGTGAACTGAACCCTCGTTGATACAGTCCACCAACAAAGACCCATTGCATTCTGTTGCATGCGGATACAGATAATCTGATGCCTGGAAGACATTTTGGACCATTCGGATAAGCACCTGTTTACATAACCTATGGTTAGGACCATTCTATAAAGCTAGGTTGCTGTTAGGTTTTCAGGCTGCATAAAGTTTCATCTATGCTGACGATGGTGCCATCACCGCTCAAGCAGTCAAGCTTTGAGATGGTTGAACAGAAGCTCTCCGAAGCTCTAGGTCAGTGGTTCTCAACCTGTGGGTCCCCAGGTGTTTTGGCCTACAACTCCCAGAAATCCCAGCCAGTTTACAGCTGTTAGGATTTCTGGGAGTTGAAGGCCCAAAACATCTGGGGACCCACAGGTTGAGAACCACTGCTCTAGGTGCTCTTACTGCCTATTACAGGGAAAACCATGATTCCTAATCCATCTAAAACACAGACATGTGCCTTTCACCTTAAGAACAGACAAGCATCCCAAGCTCTGAGGATGACCTGGGAAGGAATCCCACTGGAGCATTGCAGCGCACCCAAATACCTGGGAGTCACTCTGGACCATTCTCTGACCTACAAGAAGCACTGCCTGAATATCAAGCAAAAAGTGGGTGCTAGAAACAATATCATACAAAAGCTGACTGGCACAACCTAGGGATCACAACCAGACACAGTGAAGGCATCTGCCCTTGCGCTATGCTACTCTGCTGCTGAGTACACATGCCCAGTGTGGAAAACTTCTCACCAAGTTAAAACAGTGGATGTGGCTCTTAATGAGACATGCTGTATTATCACGGGGTGCTGTACCCTACACCACTGGAGAAATTGCACTGCTTAGCAGGTATTGCACCACCTGACATCCGCCGGAAGTAGCAGCCAATAGTGAAAGGACCAAGGCAGTGACATCTCCAGCTCATCCCCTGTTTGGGTATCAGCCAGCACGTCAATGACTTAAATCAAGAAATAGTTTTCTAAGATCTACAGAGACACTCGCTGGAACACCTCAGCAAGCGAGAGTCCAAAAGTGGCAGGCTCAAACCCAGCACCTCAATCAATGGCTGATACCAAATGAGAGACTCCCCCTGGGCACACAGAGGACTGGGCGACTTGGAAGGCGCTGAACAGACTGCGCTCTGGCACCACGAGATGCAGAGCCAACCTTCAGAAATGGGGCTACAAAGTGGAATCCTCGACATGCGAGTGTGGAGAAGAGCAAACCACTGACCACCTGCTGCAATGCAACCTGAACCCTGCCACATGCACAATGGAGGACCTTCTTGCAGAAACACCAGAGGCACTCCAAGGGGCCAGATACTGGTCAAAGGACAAGTTTGCAAACTTCGTGTTTTTAATGCAATACAACTGTTTGATTCGCTCCTGACACGAGAAATAAATAGGCTGCATGGCCATATTCTATAAGTATTCTCTCCTGACGTTTCACCTGCACTTGTGGCTGGCATCTTCAGAGGTTCGGTTGGCAGTGAGGCAAGTGGAGTGTGTATATATATATTTGTGGAATGTCCAGGGTGGGAGAAAGACCCTTGTCTGTTTAAAGGAAATATGAATCTTGCAGTTAGCAAGCTTGAATAGCACTAGGTAGCCATGAAGCTTCAAAGTCAATCAGTGAGGGTCTCTACATAGACGTAGCCTGGCCTCTGTTGCCTGAAGGTGTTAGCTGGCACTCAATTGTTTGGAGTTCCCCTGTTTCCGAGTGGTGTTCTTTATTTACTGTCTTGATTCTGGGTTGTTTTTTAAATGCTGGTAATCAGATTTTGGTCATTTTGGTTACCAGTTAACATCTCGTATACAGAGGAATTTTTTTATCATGGCAGAAGTGACTTGAGAACATACTGCAAGTCCTACTTTGGCAGTATAATAATAATAATAATAATAATAATAATAATAATAAAGGATATACTATTAAGGACTAAGGATATATTATTCACACAATAAGTAACAGATATAAAGAAAAGCATATAGAAACAGCCAGTCCTAGTATGTGCTGGAGCTACAAAAGGTCTTGAGTCCAATACCAGTGGTAGTCAAAAAAATCCAACAGCCCAAATAATGACTTCTATATTAGTCGATTCTTCATTAACTCATAACGCCAGGAACAGCAACACTTCAGCTTCCAAAATAATGAGTTATATAATAACTAGCTGTCCCCTGCGACGCGTTGCTGTGGCCCACATGGGGGTTCTGTGTGGGAGGTTTGGCCCAATTCTATCATTGGTGGGGTTCAGAATGCTCTGTGATTGTAGGTGAACTATAAATCCCAGCAACTACACCTCCCAAATGTCAAGATTCTATTTTCCCCAAACTCCACCAGTGTTCACATTTGGGCATATTGAGTATTCATGTAGAGTTTGGTCCAGATCCATCATTGTTTGAGTCCACAGTGCTCTCTGGATGTAGGTGAACTACAACTCCAAAACCAAAGGACACTGCCCACCAAACCCTTCCAGTATTTCTTGTTGGTCATGGGAGAACTGTGTGCCACATTTGGTTCAATTCCATCGTTGGTGAGGTTCAGAATGCTCTTTGATTGTAGGTGAACTATAAATCCCAGCAACTGCAACTCCCAAATGTCAAGGTCTATTTTCCCAAAAGTCCACTAGTGTTTACATTTGGGCATCTTGAGTATTGTGCCAAGTTTGGTCCATATCCATCACTGAGTGCACCGTGCTCTCTGGATGTAGGTGAACTACAACTCCAAAACTCAAGGTCAAATCCCACTAAACCCTTCTGGTGTTTTCTGTTGGTCATGGGAGTTCTGTGTGCCAAGTTTGGTTCAACCCTAAACAGTTCTGGCCCCACTTACCTCTCCGAACGCATTTCCGCCTATGAACCGGCGAGGACGTTAAGATCGTCCGGGGAGGCCCTGCTCTCGGTCCCGCCAGCATCACAAGTGCGGCTGGCGGGGACGAGAGACAGGGCCTTCTCGGTGGTGGCCCCTCGGCTATGGAATGCCCTACCAACGGAGATCAGACAGGCCCCGTCGCTACTGGCGTTTAGGAGGCGGGTGAAGACGTGGCTCTTCGAACAGGCGTTCGGATAAGCAGGCAATTAACATCTGACTCAGAAAGACGGCATACTGAACAAGGAATGGTAAAATGACTGCGAGATTGGATCTGATTCTATTTGAGGCGTGATGACGTTATGTGTATTGTTTGTGAATGTCTGTCACATGCATTGTTTAATGTTGCACTTTTACTGTAAACCGCTTAGAGTCGCCTTGGCTGATATAGGCGGTATACAAAAGGAGTAAATAAATAATAAATAAATAAATAAATCCAATGTTGGTGGGGTTCAGAATGCTCTTTGATTGTAGGTGAACTATAAATCCCAGCAACTACAACTCCCAAATGACAAAATCATTTTTTTGAGTGAAGGACATACATTGGGTTGTTAGGTGTCTTGTGTCCAAATTTGGTGTCAATTCGTCCAGTGGTTTTTGAGTTCTGTTAATCCCACAAACGAACATTACATTTTTATTTATATAGATAATAATAATAATAATAATAATAATAATAATATTGTTGAAGGAGATTCTTCATTAACTCATAATGCCAGGAACAGCAACACTTCAGATTCCAAAATAAATAAATAAATAAATAAATAAATAAATAATAATAATAATAATGTTGAAGGAGATTCTTCATTAACTCGTAACGCCAGGAACAGCAACACAACAAGGTCTCCCGGATTGCTTCCCTTGAATAGTATATCCTTAGTTGAATTATAATATGGGAATTGTACTTTTAATACTGTGAATTTTGAAGTCTTTTCAGCATAACAATATAGCATGAAGTAACTTACTCTGAGACAGAGTTTATGCCAAAGATAGGACGGCACAACAGGCGTGATGGGCGCCTGTGCAACTCTGTCACCATTCAAGCGGTGGCACGCAGTCAGCCAACAGGTTTATGCTCCTTCAGAGACCCTCTTTCACAAGCTAGCAGTTGTCGAGCCAAGGATAATTAAACACTAATTAACGTTACCTGCAAGTGAACAAGGTTACAAAGAGCTCGAGGGTGTCTATAAAAGTTGAGGTGGCGTGAAGACAACTGGAAGCCACTCCGAAGAACCAAGACAAGTTACCCAAATGGGAGCATAAGGTTGACAGAGTCAGGCTGCCAGAAAAGCACGTCAAAGGGAGATCGTGCTCTGGAAAAAGCTGGACCTGGAAGGCTGCAGTCTTGAGCTTAATTTTGTAAGAGTGGATCTCTCTGCGTTCAGGGAGGTTTACTTCCATGGAAGTATGCTTTACAGCAGTGTTTCTCAACCTGGGGGTTGGGACCCCTGTGGGGTTTGTGAAGGGTGTTAGAGGGGTTGGCAAAGACCGTCGGAAAACAGTAATTATTTTGGTTATGGGAGTTCTGTGTGGGAGGTTTGGCCCAATTCTATTGTTGGTGGGGTTTCAGAGTGCTCTTTGATTGTATGTGAACTATAAATCCCAGCAACTACAACTCCCAAATGACAAAATCAACCTCCCAATCCCACCAGTGTTCACATTTGGGCATATTGAGTATCCGTGCCAAGTTTGGTCCAGATCTATTATTGTTTGAGTCCACAGTGCTCTCTGGATGTAGGTGAACTACAACTCCAAAACTCAAGGTCAATGCCCACCAAACCCTTCCAGTATTTTCTGTTGGTCATGGGAGTTCTGTGTGCCAAGTTTGGTTCAATTCCATCATTGGTGGATTTCAGAATGCTCTTTGATTGTAGGTTAACTATAAATCCCAGCAACTACAACTCCCAAATGTCAAGGTCCACTTTCCCCAAACTCCACCAGTGTTCACATTTCGGCATATTGAGTATCCGAGCCAAGGTTGGTCCAGATTCTCAACCTGGGGGTCCACAGTGCTCTCTGGATGTAGGTGAGTTCTGTATGCCAAGTTTGGTTCAATCCCATCATTGGTGGAGTTCAGAGTGCTCTTTGATTGTAGGTGAACTATAAATCACAACAACTACAACTCCCAAATGACAAAATCAATCCCCCCCCCCCCCCAACCCCACCACTATTCAAATTTGGGCGTATTAGGTATTTGTGCCAAATTTGTTCCAGTGAATGAAAATACATCCTGCATATCAGATATTTACATAATTCATAACAGTAGCAAAATTACAGTTATGAAGTAGCAACGAAAATAATGTTAAGGTTGGGGGTCACCACAACATATGGGGAACTGTATTAAGGGGTCGCGGCATTAGGAAGGTTGAGAAGCACTGTTCTAGAGAATGTAACTTGGCTAAGGTTCCCATATGAGATTTTTATGACTGAAAGGATAGTCACACTCTGGTCTCCTTGAGTCATAGGGTGCATCTACACTGTAGAATTTAAAGCGGTTTGACACCACTTTAACTGCCATGACTCAGTGCTATGAAATCCTGGGAGCTGAGTTTGGTGCGACACCAGCACTCTTTGGCAAAGGAGTCTAAAAGGCCTTACAAAACCAGAGATCCTGTGATTCCACCGTATTTAGCCATGGCATTTAAGAGGTGCCAAACTGCATTAATTGCACGGTAGAGATGCACCCTAGTTCAACATTCAAACAACTATATCTGGTTGGCTCATTAGCAAGATGTAAGGATACACAGGAATGAACTCAAAGAACCTTTGGTGCAATTTTATGTCATCCTTCAACCAGAAGTGGTTCACTTCAATAGGATTTGCTATTATCTGAGATTTCACATTTCTACGGCAAATCCAGGAAGATATCTCTCACAGATATAGGAACCGTATGGTACTCAGACGTGGTTTTGTCAATTCCTTTCCTCTGAAATATAGCCTACAGCAACCGGCATTTGTTGGTGGTCTCCATCCAAATGCTTATCAGATGGGATCTGGCACCTTTAGGGCATTTAATCTTATGCTTGTTGTTGTTGTGAGATGCCTTCAGCCTGAGTTTTGGGAGGAAGACAAGACAGATATCAAAGGGTCACAAGTCTCCCTGCACCCTCCTCAACAGACCTGTGATGGTGACTGAAGCATGGGTCTCCTGCTGAAGCAAGGGGTTCTTCACCAGGCAACTATATGTGCTGTTGGGTTCAAGGACCACCCGTAAGACGCTCCTCACATCGAAAAGGCCTTCCTCGTTGGCCACTTGGGAGGTGGTGATGTTCTCCGTGATGTTGTTCCCTTGGCCATCGTGCCAAAGGACCATGGCCTCGGGGTAACCAGAAAAAGTGTGGCACGTCATCGTAACCAGGTCTCCAGGCTTCAGGTTCTTGTTGGGTTCCAGGTTCAAATTGGGCTTGGAATAGAAGGCTGAGGAAGAAGAAAGAAAGGGTTAACAGGTCCGTGAAAACTTAAGCCTGAACTTACAGAGACCTTCATTGGCTTTCATGAACTGGAATCATCTAGGAGAGATGGTGGAGCAAGCTGGTTTTTGGCAGCTCCAGACACTAGAAGACATAAAGGTAAAAGTAAATGTTTTCTCCTGAATGAATGTGCAGTCGTGTCCGACTGTGGGGGTTGGTGCTTGTAACGGGAGGGGTTTATATCTAACAATCCCAATGCTGAACCACCAAATGTAAAAGATTATTAAATAAATTCAAATTTAAGTGTTTGGGACTGCTGAGACTTAGCCCCCAACACACTATTTTCTGAGGTAAAGTTCTGTAATCATTGGCAACCACCACACTTTAAGGAATATTAAGCTTCTGGTTTGGCGAGAGGCTTTAAGCAAGATGTGTTGTGCTGGATTCACACTCAGGCCTTTGTACTCTGAGATTCCTTTAAACACACACTGCCACCATTTCCTAAAACTCTACTTCACTAATCTGCTTTGGAATGATTTCACGTAGAGGCACTCTAGAGACAGTTGTAGTTTAACTAGGAACAAAGTTGTTTATTTGTGAGAACTTGGACAAAACAGGCATTAATGAGTAAAAGCATATGGTTACTTCAAAGAACAGTTCAAGGTTTAGTTTCAGAACAACTCTGCACTCCCTCAAAAGAATACTGGTAGTTAAAGAGCACATTCTAAGGATTATTTCTGCGTTTGATTTATTAAAATATTCCCATCCAAACCCAAGTAATGAAGGTGGAGGCATTTCTTTCCATGCAACCCTCATACATTTGAACTAAAATGCGACCATTTCAATTTGTAAGACACCTTGAGTCCCCAAATAGAGTCCATCAACATTATCATCCTCACCACTCCCATCCACTTTGCTCCTAGCTCACCTGCAACTTGCAATGCCACGGCAGCGCTGCTATAGTCCCGGACCCGGACAAAACAAGTGAAGCTCCCTTCATCGGAAATCTGGATTCGCCGAAGGAGCAGGGAGACATTTCCCCGAGGCAGCTGGTCATAGAAGAGGGAGGTCCGGTTGGCGTAGCTGCTTTCTTGGTTGGCCAACTGGTCCTGGCCATCAGAAAAACTGTGTATCAACCGTTTGGTGTCAGTCAGCTGCCAGATGAGGCTGAGGTCGTTCAGGCTGAAGTTGGCATCCGGGGAGAAGGAGCAGCGAAGGGTGGCATCCTGGCCAACGAGGGCCACCGCGGGGTCATTGGGGACCTTGATTTCTAGGCAACCTGGTGAGGAAGAGCCGGGAGATGAAGGGGGAGAAAAGGGACACATAAACAGAGAGCTCCATGAGATGTCAACAATCTGGGACCCACCAAGAATAACCTAGGGTTTGGGCTGCTGTGTATTTTTTAGGTTGGATATATGGCCATGTTCCAGTAGCATTCTCTCCTAATGTTTCGCCTGCATCTGTTGCAAGCAACCTCAGAGGTTTGGTCAGAGATCTGCTGGAAATGAGGCCAGTGGAGTGTGTGTGTGTGTGTGTGTGTGTGTGTGTGACTTTTACAAATAATACCTGGCAATGCTGGGTACCCAAGTTAGTAATTTATAAAATCTGGGGTTTATTGTTGGGTAAAAACTGAAATTGTCCCTTACCACCAACTCCCACAAAATACTCATGGCTACCATTTCTGATCAAAAGAGTGATGCAAAGGTTTGTAGACAAGCAGGTAAGTAGCTGGTCTAAATCCCCTAATGCAGTGTTTCTCAACCTTCCTAATGTGGCAACCCCTAACAGTTCCCCATATGTTGTGGTGACCCCCAACCATAACATTACTTTCATTGCTACTTCATAACTGTAGTTTTGCTACTGCTATGAATCATAATGTAAATATCTGATATTTCCATTCATTGGGTCAAAATTGGCACGAATACACGATATGCCCAAATTTGAATACTGGTGGAGTTGATGAAAATTCATGATTTTGTCATTGGGAGTTGTAGTTGCTGGGATTTATAGTTCACCTCCAATCAAAGAGCATTCTGAACCCCACCAATGATGGAATTGAACCAAACTTGGCACACAGAACTCCCATGACCAACAGAAAACACTGGAAGGGTTTGGTGGGCATTGACCTTGAGTTTGGGAGTTGTAGTTCACCTACATCCAGAGAGCACTGTGGACTCAAACAATGATGGATCTGGACCAAACTTGGCACAAATACTCAATATGCCCAAATGTAAACACTGGTGGAGTTTGGGGAAAACAGACCTTGACATTTGGGAGTTGTATTTGCTGGGATTTATAGTTCACCTACAATCAAAGAGCATTCTGAACTCCACCAATGATGGAACTGAACCAATCTTGGCACACAGAACTCCCATAACCAATGGAAAATCCTGGAAGGGTTTGGTGGGCATTGACCTTGAGTTTTGGAGTTGTAGTTCACCTACATCCAGAGAGCACTGTGGACTCAAACAATGATGGAACTGGACCAAACTTGGCACAAATACTCAATATGCCCAAATGTGAACACTGGTGGAGTTTGGGAAAATAGACCTTGACATTTGGGAGTTGTAGTTGCTGGGATTTATAGTTCACCTACAATCAAAGAGCGTTCTGAACCCCACCATAGATAGAATTGGGCCAAACTTCCACACAGAACCCCATGCCTTGAAGGGACTCACTAGCATGAGCCTCCCTCTAGGCTCCCTCGCCCATACATGTGCTGCTCTCCCCTCCCCGCTTGGAGTCTCAGAAACAGCCCTCCCCTTGGTTGAGAGGCTGGCCAATCACAACGGAGGAGGGCTTTTGGTAGGAGGATTTGCCGTCTGTTTCCCAAAAGGAAGATAAGGCCAGGCGGAGAGATCTTCAGCCTTCTCTGCCAAAGGGGTTCCTAAGACCATCAGAAATATATGTTTTCTGATTATCTTTGGTGACCCCTCTGAAATCTCCTGGTGATCTCCCCCCCCCACCCAGGGGTCCCGACTCCCAGGTTGAGAAATGCTGCCCTTTTGGGACCAGACCTTATCCAATCTTGGATGCTAAGCAGAGCGAGCCCTTGTTGGTACTTGTGGGCCACATTTCAGAGGAAGGAACTGGCAAAACCAGCTCTGAGCATTCCCTGACTCAGAAAACACATATTGTTTTGATGTTGTTTACAATTGTGTTTGTATTTTATTTTTATCTGATGTTTTTAATTGGTTAAAGTGTTTTACTTGTGTGTTTTACCTGTAATTTTGGGCTTGTCCCTTGTAAGCCTCCCCGAGTCCCCTAAGGAAGATGGTTGGCAGGGTATAAAATATTATTATTATTATTATTATTATTATTATTATTATTATCTATATAAATAAAAATGCAATGTTCGTTTGTGGGATCAACAGAACTCAAAACCCACTGGACGAATTGACATCAAATTTGGACACAAGACACTTATTAGGCCAATGAGTGACCATCACTCATAAAAACACCGAAAAACACAGCAGAAGGGGTTTAAAAAGCCAAAAAACAAAAATTACATTACAACGCATGCGCAAAACCACATATATAGGCACACACACACACACAAAACACATACACAGAAAAGGGTAAGGGAGAAGGAGGGAAAGAAGGAGGAGAAAGAAAGAAGGAAAGAAAAAAGGGTAGAGAAGGAAGTAGAGAAGGAGGGAGACAAAGAGGGAGAGAAGAGAAAGAAGGAGAGAAGGAAGGAGAGAAGGGTAGAGAAGGAAGGAAGTAGAGAAGGAGGGAGAGAAAGGGAAAGAAGGAGGAGAAAGAAAGAAGGAAAGAAAAAAGGGTAGAGAAGGAAGGAGAGAAGGAGGGAAGGAGAGAAGGATGGAAAGAAAAAAGGGTAGAGAAGGAAGGAAGTAGAGAAGGAGGGAGACAAAGAGGGAGAGAAGAGAAAGGAGGGAAGGAGAGAAGGAAGGAAAGAAGGGTAGAGAAGGAAGGAGAGAAAGAGGGAGAGAAGAGAAAGGGAGGGAAGGAGAGAAGGAAGGAAAGAAGGGTAGAGAAGGAAGGAAGGAGAGAAAGAGGGAAGGAAGGAGAGAAGAAAAGGTAGAGAAGGAAGGAGGGAAGGAACAAAAGAGAGAAAGAAGGAAGGAAGGAAAGAGACAAGGAAGGATGGAACCAAAGAGCAAAGGAAGTGAGAAAAGAAACAGGTAGAGAAGAAAGAAAGAAAGGGAAAGAAAAAGAGGGAGGGTAGGAAAAAAGGAGGGAAAGAGGGAGGGAGGGATGGCCACAGCAAAGCGTAGCGGGTACAGCTAGCTATTATATTAAATTAATGAAGTCATCACAACTCAACAGCCAACTTGAAGACAAGACAACATGGTAGGGTACTGCTGCCCCCTTGTGCCCACCATATGCAATGACATCCCTTTCTTGGAATCCCCTTCCCTATAATCTCAGACCTTCTGTTTGGAAGCTGAGAATGAAACACAAATATGTGAATGAATATCTCTAAAGTATTACAAGGCTCATGTGTTACCTGTGAAATGTGTGATATCTTGATGGGAAGTCCTTCCCACCAATGCAGACTGCAGGTCTTTTCAATCATAATTCTGGTCACTGTTATGGAAGCCGGCCTTATAGTGAGCAAGAAACTGCAGTTGTTGCACCGGGATTAAAATAAATCATGCAACTCAGCTCTTGCATTGCAGCTGCAATGATTTCATGAAATGCAGAAAATACTCAAGGTTCCCTGATTCGGCCACTAGATGTCAGTCTTAGCCTGATTTTTGTCATACTGGAGATAGTATGACAATGGTATGCTAATAGTATGCTAATTAAAAATATTCATAAATAACTTATTGTTGTTGTTACAATTATCATTTTAAATTAGTATTATTTTCATCAGCATATTATTGCTGGCTTCACGAATTCTGGGAATTGTCATCTCAAAACATAATTTTTCTTTGGTTTGTCAACATATCAACAATTGACATTCCACATTGGCAGACGTGATTAGAATGTTCTCTCTAGGAAACCCTAATGGTAAAAGGAAATGTTTCCCCTTGACATTAAGTCTAGTGGTGTCTGACTCTGTAAGTTGGTGCTCATTTCCATTTCGAAGGCGAAGAGTCGGCATTGTCCATAGACGCCTCCAAGGTCATGTGGCCGCTGGCAGGACTGCATGGCATGCTCTGATCTTCCTGCTGGAGCGTATGTATTGGTCTACTCACATTTGCATGTTTTCGAACTGCTAGGATGGCAGAAGCTGGGGCTAACAGTGGCTGGTCCATGAGGTCACGAAGAGTCGGAAACGACTGAATGAATGAACAACAACAAGGTAGGTGGAAGTTGGGGCTAACAGTGGGAGCTCACCCCACTCCCAGGATTCGAACTGCCCATCTTTCGAGCAGCAAGTTCAGCAGCTCAGCAGTCTATCCTGCTGTGCCGCCGGGGGACCAGGAATCCCTAGAGCAGCATTTCTCAACCTGGGGGTCGGGACCTCTGGGGGGGAGTTGTGAGGGGTCACCAAAGACAATCAGAAAACACAGTATTTTCTGTTGCTTATGTGGGTTATGTGTGGGAAATGTGGCCCAATTCTATTCTTGGTGGGGTGCAGAATGCTCTTTGATTGTAGGTGAACTATAAATCCCAGAAACTACAACTCCCAAATGCCACGGTCTATGGGGGGGGGGGAGTTGTGAGGGAATGTCAGAGGGGTCACCAAAGACCATCAGGAAACACCGTATTTTCTGTTGGTTATGTGGGTTCTGTGTGGGAAATTTGGCCCAATTCTATCCTTGGTGGGGTGCAGAATGCTCTTTGATTGTAAGCAAACTATAAATACCAGCAACTACAACTCCCAAAGGTCAAGGTCTATTTTCCCCAAACTCCACCAGTGTTCACATTTGGGCAGATTGAGTATATGTGCCAAGTTTGATCCAGATCCATCTTTGTTTGAGTCCATAGTGCTGTCTGGATGTAGGTGAACTGCAACTCAAAACTCAAGGTCAATGCCCGCCAAACCCTTCTAGTATTGTCTGTTGCTCATGGGAGTCCTGTGTGTCAAGTTTGGTTCAATTCCATCATTGGTGGAGTTCAAAATGCTCTTTTATTGTAGGTGAACTATAAATTCCAGCAACTACAACTCCCAAATGACAAAATCAATCCCCCGCAACCCCACCAGTATTTAAATTTGGGTCTACGGGGTATTTGTGCCAAATTTGGTCCAGTGAATGACAGTCCTTCCTGCATATCAGATATTTACATTACAATTCATAACAACAGCAAAATTGAAGTTGTCAAGTAGCAACGAAAATAGTGTTATGGTTGGGAGTTGCCACAACATGATGAACTTTATTAAGGGGTCACGGCATTAGGAAGGTTGAGTACCACTGAATTAATTCCTCATCACTTTGCATTAATTGTGGAATAACTAGAGCAAGATCTTTGTGAGATATTTTGTTTCAAGCTCCAGAGTAACTTGGGGCACAACCACAAAAGTTGATTCTATGGTTGGGGGTCAAGACAACATGAGGAACTATATTAAGGGGGTCACAGCATTAGGAAAGATGAGAAACGCTGCTGTAGAACCTTTTAAATAGAGGATAGATGGCCGTCTGTCAGGAGTGCTTTGATTGTGCCTTCCTGCGTAGCAGAATAGGGTTAGACAGGATGGTCCTTGTGGTCTCTTCCAACTCTAGGATTCTATTATTCTATGAAAACTCTGTGCATGTGTGAGATATATGTATGTATGTATGTATATGTAAAGTCAGTGTTTGTATATGGAGGGAGGGAGTGAAGGAGGGTGGTGTGCTTATGCTTTCTAATTGGCTGCCACTTTCGCAGGCCACTGCAACCACAGATGATGGGATTTGCAATACATTTGCTCACTTCCTGAGGCCACTGTGACCCACACCAATGAACAACAAACACCAAATTGGCAAACAGAGCCCCCATGGCCAACTCAACATCCTGGTGAAGTTTAGGGGAGCATGGACCATGGGGACTTCCAGTACCTTCACTCACTTTCTGAGACCACAGCAACCCTCAACCAATTATCAATAAAGACCAAACTTGGCACACAGAGCCCTCATGGCCAAGCCAACATTCTGGTGCAGTTTGGGGGAGGACAGACTATGGATGATGGGACTTGCAGTACCTTCACTCATTTCCTGAAACCACTGCAACCCAAACCAATGACAGATCAGGACCAAAATTGGCACACAGAGCTCTCATGACCCACTCTACATCCTAGTGTGGTTTGGAGGATGAACCATGGATGATGGGACTTGCATATGGGAGTTGTAGTTCACTCACACCCACTAAACCCAGCAGGCATTAGATCTACACTAAACTTGGAGCACAAACAATGCCTTTCTCAAATAACCCGGGCACCGCCGGGTCCTCAACACACACATGAATTTAAAATGAGGCTCTAGCCTATAACACATCCTGAATCAAGAAGAATCTGAGCAGAGATATGTGCGGTTACTACTTACCACCCAGAGCTGATAATGCAAGACTTAAGATCAACTGTGGAAAGTACATTTTCTGTTGGAGGCCGAGGCCTTGGAGAGACAATTTCAGCAGAGGCGTGAAGGCAAAATCGGAGACTGCAATCTTTACTTTTCCTGGCAGGAAAATCAAGCAGGTAGGGACATGAATATAAATTCCTGAAAGTACAAAGCAAAAAGAATCCTATCAAGGACACGTGGGTGCATCGTTCTAGTTACACTGAGTACTTTCTTTCTGGAAAGGTGCCACATCCAAAAACTTTCCCTGAGTTGACTCAGATGGCCAGCGATGCATCTACAGTGCCATGGCTCAATACCGTGCAATCCTAGGAGTTGTAGTTTTGGATGACACATGCTTCCTTGATTCATTTCGAACTGGCTATGGTTGCTTTAGTGCAGTGGTTCCCAAGCTGTGGGCCGTGGACCACCAGTGGTCCGCAAGAACTAAAAATAACAGAGTAATACACCTGACTGCTCTATTCGTCTCTATATTTGGAGCTCTCCAAAACAGCTGGGTGTTGCACTCCAGGACAGGAATAATCCTCTGACTTTAAACACCACATGTTGAAAATGAAAAAACAATCCTTTTATTGAAGATAAGTAAAAAAACATTAACGCAAAAAGCACTTTAAAGAAATGAGTAAATCCAATTAGGTAAGAAGATAAGCAGGAACAAATTAGTCCAAGGTGGAGTTCAACAAAGTCCATAAAAGCAAAGTCTACACAACTCTAATACAATCCAGAAAATCAGGAATGCATTGATCCAAGGCTTGGGTATGCAATCATGAAATCCAGGAATCAAAACCCTGATACAAGAAATATCTTAGCATGAATCTTTAAAGTAAGGCTTCCATGAACAAGGACAAGAACTTGGTGTGATTCTAAATGATGCTTCATCTGACTACACATCCCAAACTTGAGACTTTTATCCCCTGGTTAGCTAGGTCACTGGCAGTCAGAAATTGGTTTCTCTTTACTTGAGGCTTTGTTATTGTTTTCTGTCGAAACCTGACAGAGTGCCAAAGACATTGCTCAGCTCTCCTGTTTTGGGTTGTTGTAGGTTTTTTTGGGCTATATGGTCATGTTCTAGAGGCATTCTCTCCTGACGTTTCGCCTGCATCTATGGCAAGCATCCTCAGAGGTAGTGAGGTCTGTTGGAAGTAGGAAAAATGGGTTTATATATCTGTGGAATGACCAGGGTGAGACAAAGGACTTTTGTCTGCTGGGGCTAGGTGTGAATGTTTCAGCTGATCACCTTGATTAGCATTCAATGGCTTGGAAGTGCCTGGGGGGAATCTTTTGTTGAGAGTGATTTTATGTGCCTGTTTGTTTCCCCTCTGTTGTTTTGCTGTTGTAATTTTTGAGTTTTTTAATACTGGTAGCCAGATTTTGTTCATTTTCATGGTTTCTTCCTTTCTGTTGAAATTGTCCACATGCTTGTGGATTTCAATGGCTTCTCTGTGTAGTCTGACATGGTGGTTGTGAGACTATTTTCATGTTCTCTCTCATGAGAACTCTCTGGTAACAATTCAGAAAGCACACCATCATCCCCACACCCCTCAGAGACATTCTCATGGGAAACCACAGGGATCTCCTGGTCATTCTCTGCATCAATATCACTGACCAAGCCCTTGCCATCTTGAAACTCATCTTGAACCTTATTAACATCATTCCCCACTAGGGCTGGGCGGTTTCGTTTCGTTAATTCGTAATTCGTTAATAATTCGTTAATTTTTTTAATTACAAAACGATAACGAACCATTCTGGAGCAATTTTTTAAAAAAACGAATTTTTAAACACGTTTTGTAAATGCTTCGTATTTCGTTATTGTATTCGTTTCGTTATTGTTCTGAGGTCGTTTCGTTATTATTTCCGCATGTCTGGGGCAAGTTTTTTGTTTAATTAGTGAAAAAAAATTATAATATCACACCAACAGTCAACAACAGAGGGAGAGGGAAGCTTCAGAAGTTTTTGGAGGTTTTTTAGCGTATTTCGCTGTCGCGTCCGCCATTAACGAATCGATTCGTTATTGTTTCGGAAATCGATTCGTTAATGTTTTGTATTTTTTTCACATTTACGAAATTTCGTAAATATCGAACTTTTTTAAAGGAAAATTTTGTAATTATTTTAAATAACGAAACGCAAAAAAACCCCAAAAAACGAATCGATTTTAGAAACAAATTTTTCCGTTGTTACCCAGGCCTATTCCCCACCTCCAAAGCACCCTGATCCTGAAACACAATCACAGTCTAAACTCCATCACTGGGTAGGAAGGACTTCCTTTTGCAGAAAGGAGAAAACTCTTTCCAGATGGGAGAATGAGCCAAGGTCTGGAGCAAGCAGAATCCTGGTGTTGAAGTATTGCAAAACAAAGCATCCCCTTGATATCTGGACGCTTCCTCCCAAACCACAATATGATCTGTTTCCTTCCCAAGGAAGAAGAACAGCAAATAGGAGGAAGAACGTCCCAGATGTTGTGCCTTCCTGAGCCAGGATTCCCTTCGGATCCTTTTCTGTCTCCCACACAGAAATGACTGCAGCTGCTCAAAGTGTGTCCGTCTCCACTGGACCATCGGAACACTGCCCAACAATGGTCAAATATATTCAGTTGGTGGATTGTTGTAGGTTTTTCCAGGTTATACGGCCCAGTTCTAGAGGCATTTTCTCCTGACGTTTCGCCTGCATCTATGGCAAGCATCCTCAGAGGTAGTGAGGTCTGTTGGAAGTAGGAAAATGGGTTTATATATCTGTGGAATGATGAGGGACTCTTGTCTGCTGGAACTAGGTGTGAATGTTTCAACTGACCACCTTAATTAGCATTTGATGGCTTGGCAGTGCCTGGGGGAATCTTTTGTTGAGAGGTGATTAGATGTCCTTGTTTGTTTCCTCTCTGTTGTTGTGCTGTTCTAATTTTAGAGTTTTTTTAAATATTGGTAGCCAGATTTTATTCATTTTCATGGTTTCCTCCTTTCTGTTGAAATTGTCCACATGCTTGTGTATTTCAATGGCTTCTCTGTGTAGTCTGACATGTTGGTTGTGAGAGTGGTCCAGCATTTCTGTGTTCTCAAATAAAATGCTGTGTCCAGGTTGGTTCATCGGGTACTCTGCGATGGCTGACTTCTCTGGTTGAAGTAGTCTGCAGTGCCTTTCATGTTCCTTGATTCGTGTTTGAACCTTCAGAGAGTAAACAATCAGGTACATCTAATCACCTCTCAACAAAAGATTCCCCCAGGCACTGCCAAGCCATCAAATGCTAATTAAGGTCGTCAGTTGAAACATTCACACCTAGCTCCAGCAGACAAGAGTCCTTTGTCCCACCCTGGTCATTCCACAGATCTGGCCAGGGTGGTCCATGCCTTAGTCACCTCCAGATTGGACTACTGTAATGCGCTCTACGTGGGGCTGCCCTTGAAAACGGCCCGGAAATTCCAACTGGTTCAACGAGCAGCGGCCAGGTTGTTAACTGGTGCTCCTTACAGAGAGAGGTCAACCCTCCTGTTTAAGGAGCTCCATTGGCTGCCATTCATTTTCCGGTCCCAATTCAAGGTGCAGGTGCTTACCTACAAAGCCCTAAATGGTTTGGGACCCGCCTACCTGCGTGACCGCATCTCCGTATATGAACCCACACGATCTCTCCATCATCTGGAGAGGCCCTGCTCACGATCCCACCTGCGTCGCAAGCGCGATTGGTGGGGACGAGGGACAGGGCCTTCTCCGTGGTGGCCCCCCGACTCTGGAACTCTCTCCCCAAGGACATCAGACAAGCCCCAACATTGGCAGTCTTTAGGAGAGCTTGAAGACGTGGTTGTTCCAGTGTGCCTTCCCAGAATAGGAAACTCCAAGCATCATGTCCTTAAATGCACTTTACTAGAGATTTAAGATTGTCTGCACACTGCACCTATCTCCAAAAACCTATCTATTTCACCTGCCATGCCCAGCATTTTAAATTTTTAATCATTACATTGGCCCGGCCTTAGTTTTTAAATGTGTCATGGTATTATTGTCTAATGTTATTTGCTATTGTTTTAATGTTCATTGCTGGAATCACTGGGTCGTTGTAGGTTTTTCGGGCTATATGGCCATGTTCTAGAAGCATTCTCTCCTGACGTTTCGCCTGCATCTATGGCAAGCATCCTCAGAGGTAGGTTGGGTTGTTTATTATTTAATGTTTATTGCTTGTTTTATGAGTTTATTTATTGTTGTATTTTGTTATGCTGTTGTTTTATTGATGTGTTGGGCCTCGGCCTCTTGTAAGCCGTATCGAGTCCTTCGGGAGATGTTAGCGGGGTATAAATAAAGGGTTATTATTATTATTATTATTATTATTATTATTATTATTATTATATAACCCAGAAAAACCTACAACAATCCAGTGATTCCGGCCATGAAAGCCTTCGACAATATATTCAGATGGTGTTTGCAAACTTTGTGGAAACACAATCTTGAGCATGTGCCCCAGAGTCCATAAAAAGTCCATCGGGTGTCATAAGCTTCAGCAAATCGAAATAGAGCCGTTTTGGTTTAATTTACATGCTTTTGCCCCAAGCTAGAAATCGGGAACAAGATATGCACAGTACCAGAAACCTTCAGACAATAAAAAGAATTACATAATTTCCACTACAGAAAATCCCAGGCAGAACCTCGGGGCTGAACCAGATGACAAATCCAAGGGCATGGCTTTCATTAAAATTATGTCATGCCGAAGCTAAGGGAGTTCATGTCTCTCTAATACGCCTATTGTCATTGCAATTAAGTGGGGGGAAATACAGTACGTTTCCTTGCTAATGTGAATCGGGAGAGGGCTACAAACACCAGCAGTACCACATCTTTGTCTTCCGCACATATATACAAGGGCTGAATGAAAAGTAATGCCTCCACCTTCATAATTCCTCAACAGGTGGCTGTTGTGACTCAGGTCCCAAAGATTGCCCAACACAGCAGATAAAGGGTTAACAAAAGTCTTTAATGAGTCTTTAACAGGCTAGCAGCACTTAAACAGCAATGCTACTTAGCAAAACAAAAGGACCTTCCTGCAGGTAAACAATAACAGAGATAAACCGGATTATCCCAGGACTCAGTCTCAGGAAAAACGAAAGCTGGAGCAAAACAAACGGTGGCAGAAGTGGAGTCAAAACAGTCCTTTGGCCGAGCACGGAGAC